GTTCACAAATTAGCCAAGAGATTTAACTCTTTTAGATCGTTGAAAAACGTCATATTTTGGCACTCTCTATAGATAGCTTTCATATGCAATTACTGCTAAACGTTTTATTAGCTATTCTATTTATATTTTATTATTTCACGCCAATACCATAAAATAAAAATGACATATCATGTTTCAATGCCGAGGCATAGAGAGAGGCAAGTATATAATTCAAAGCATTATTTCTTCTTTTCTTTTTCATATACTACAGTTGATTATTATGATAAATCATCAATAAAAACAGTGTTTTCCAATTTATTTAATAAATCACTTATTAAAATTAATCTGTTTTATAGAATTAAATAAAAAAATAATAGAATATGTTTCATGTTTATGAAACTGTTATTATTTTTAATAATCAGTTGAATCTTGTGATAAATTCTTGCTATTGCTTCTATTTTTGTTGACGTGAAAACTATTGGACTTTTTTTTTTGTATTTCTTAGTCTTCTATGTCAAAGCTTTAAACATTAAGCATTCAAACAGTGCTGTGGTCATTTTTATTATATCATTTCTCAAGTCAAAAATAAATCAGACGTAAGATCTTTCAGGTCACAAGACAATATACGAAAAACCGTCGTCTCTGAAGTCTCACATTATATCCAACTTTAAGATTTTTCAAAGACCTTACGAACACATAAATTTTCCTATAGTTGTATAGTGATATCTAACAAGACAGCAGGATCTTTCAAAAATCTTATAATGTAACTTGAAGTAAAATTTGACAAATGACGACTTTTCGTACGATTTCCGTCTGATCTCATAAGATCAAAAGTACGATCTTGTAAGATTTTACCATCCAATTGATTGACTTGGGCACTTTAAGACTGATCCTGATCTCTCAAAAATCGATTATGAGCTAGGTTTATTAAAATTCCATGATATTTTCGAGATATATTGGAGCTGTGTTGAAGAGGCTATGATAAATTTTTTAGCCGTATATCATGACATTTTCGGGAGATATTCAATAGACTAGAGTCACAAAATAGTTCATCTGGCAACCTAAAATTTTCTGTGATCCTTCATTTTTTATACTCAATTTACTTTTTATCTGAAAGATCATGTCAAAATAGAAGACATAAAAAAGTCTCTTTTGTTCTAAATTCACACTTTTTAACCGAAGAAAAGGGTGAAAAGTTCAAAATATCGAAAAAATCTAAAAAAAAGTGTTCTAATTATCAAAGTACTCTTTTACATAATAGTAACACAATCTATTTCAGAAAAAAACACACCAACTTCACCATACTTTGCATCTTGTAATGCTATTTCAAACAAACAAAGAATAAAATATATAAAATGAATTAATAGAATAAAAAAAAAACATTAACAGAAAAAAAGCGAAAAAAATTTGCAGCTTTTACGAAAATAAAAATCATATTTTTCAAGCAGAAAATGATGAATATCATCTAAATTTTTGGGAAAATTAGGTGTGAATTAGGAAAAATCGGGCTTCGGACTATCTTCCTATTCATTTATTTTCATTTTCTTTGTTTTAACGAAAACTACAGTTGTCTGAGGGTGAGAGGAGGATTAACCTTGACTAACAAAATCATTGTATTCTATCCCTAATGTTCATCTAGTACGATAATCACAACGAAACTTTCAATTAGAATAATCATTTAATCAAAATATAGTAGAGAAATATTTTTCTCTTTATTTCTCCTTATAAGGAGTATGATGACGTCACTACATTTATTATCTTTACAAAGAGATAATCGGCATCATCACTCTTTATTAAAAGTAATGACTTATATATAAACAAATACTATAAAAGAAACCATTAAATGTAAAGTGAAAGAAAACGAATGAGCACAATTCTTGAAATAACTAGACTTTTATCCTTATCACAAGCAATGGATGCTTTACGTATTAGTACTGCTGTTATAGGAACCCTTATTTATATTGCTGGTTTTATGGGAAATTTCTTTGCATCATTACTTTTTGTACAAAAAGAATTACGTCAAGTATCAACCGGTCTCCTTTTTCTTTTACTTAATATAACTAATACAATTCATTTATTATCTTTAATTTTTGAATTTATTGATAGTCTATTTTTAATTCAAATTTTTCCATCTGATGTATTTCGATGTCAATTTATTTTATGGTTACAAAATGCAACACGTACAATATGTTCATTTTTAGCAACAACAGTATCAGTTGATCGTTTTCTACGTTCAGAATATCCTATATTGTCACGTAGATGGTGTATACCAAAAAATGCTTTTAAACTTTCAATCATTTATTTATTATTTTCAATATTACTTTATGCATTTTTCTTTTATCCATTAAATACATTTGATGATGAAGGTTTTTGTACATTTGGTTTTAATGGCACTTTTCATATATTTGCTGTCTATGTTATGCCGCCGATACGTTTTACTCTTATTTGTATTATACCGACTACTATTATGATTGTGTGTGGTTGTCGAATGGTTTATAATATTGGACAATCACGTAAACGTGTTGCTCAACAAACAATAATACAAAATCAAACACTCACGACTACTGTTGCTTCACTGTCAACATCAACTAGTATAATTAATAATGATCGACGACAAAATATAACTACTGATCGTACATTATTGTTAATGGTTATACTAAATATTATTGCATATATAATAACACAGCTACCATTTAATAGTTATTCTGTTTATTATGGTTATGAAGCAACAAAAAATAATTTATCATATTCATTAACACGATCATTTCTTCTTATGTGGAGTTCAGTTTATTTTGGTGTTAGTTTTTATTTATTTTCTTGTGCTTCACGACAATTTCGAAAACAATTTTTAACAAGAATTAAAACTATTGATATTCTTCGACGGTTTTCACAAAGACGAATGTTTTTGACAAGAAATAACTAAAACTATTTGACACTGATTGGAACAAATACCAACAACATTTTTTTGTAACCGATTCAGTTGTACATATAAACTATTTTCTGAAACATGATCTAACAGGATACTAACGATCTATCCCAGACGTTATTCAGAGACCACTACAGGACGTGATAGACGTTTGTCAGAGACTGTGTGACAGACACTTTAGCAATACTCCGGCACTCTTCCACATCACAGATTGTAACAAACATAGATATACAATCACAGATGGTACATATATCAATAATGTCTTTTAATAATATATAAATTATTTCCCTATTGCATTTCTCGAGTATTAATTAAAAGATGGAGAAGAAATACGTATAAAAAAAATAGATAGAACAAAGCAATCTTCGTTTGATTGGCAAGAGCAGCTACATTGTGTTTCAATAAATTTTAATCTCACAAAGATTTCGGTAACAAAGATTTTTTAAATAATTAAGTACTATGTGCAAATAAGCGATGATAATATTTTTGTTTTTTGAATGCATGTATATTATGTGATCAAAGGCACCCTTGAATCGCTAGGATTAGAGGGGTAGATCAATGACTCAGGAGACTGATTGGAAGATTTTTCATAAAGTTGGCCGGATTTTCGAAAGTGGATTGAAGCGTTTCTTACGAGTTGATGAGCAGAAAAAAACAATAAAACGCTGGCACTCCGCTGGAGAAAAACGACAACTGTTTAAAATTGGGCGGAGGGATGCTTCATTGAACCGTCTATACGTAATCCTTTGAAATCGACCAATTTAACAATTGAGGGTGACTTTCCAAAATAGGAATCAAAATAATTCAAATAGTTCTAATTTTTTCATTTCACATATGCAAGAACGTCGTTATAACGTCATACTCCTTCCTGTAATAGAAGACTCGATCGTCTATTATGTGGAAGCATACAAAGTTTTGAGGTAGATCTTCTATTGTGTTTCTTTTTTTTCTACAATTTTCTCTTAGAAAAGTGTTTTCAGAAAACTCGAATGATACTGAGAATTTTGTGAGAGATTTTTAAGGTTTTGAATATCCAGATATAAAATTGATATGAAGTTTTAAGATTTTCAGCTCAAAACCTTGAAAACAAAGTACATATTGGTGTCAATATACTAATTAAAAGTATTAATTTTTATTTGAGAAACTAATTAAGAGCCTTCGACTGTGGAGAAGGGCAGTCATGTCACACGGTTTTTTTTTCCTAGAAAAAGTGCAAAAAGATATTTATCAAGAGATTTGGACAATTAAAGCTTTTTAATCCTAAAACTTTAAGAAGAACTTAAGAAACTCTTCTAACTAATTACACATAAAAGCATGACTTGATCATTATCTTTCTGATATTGAAATACTTTTAGCTCGTGTAACGAATTTTTTTTCCACAATAATGGCACACAGAGATAGTCATTCCATACGAAATCCTATATCCTGTTCCAATGGACAAGAAAACAAACAATATAGAACGTAAAAAAGACTTCAATATATAATAGAAAGTTTTATATGAATTTATGGAATATGAATAACTTATCTGTATGATTAAATTTTAAATTATTATGATTAAATCTTGTTTCTAAAAAGCTTGAGTCAATTTCCTTTTTAGTGTTGAATATATCGAACTCTTTCTTCATTAGAATGAATGCTGTGAAGACAGATTATTTTTAGATAATGACAGTAATCCTAACCTGTCAATTTTTAAACGTAGCTTTTGTAATTCATTCTTATTTAATTTAACCCAAAGATATTTTAAGTCCATTATGAAAGTCAAATTCTATCTCTTACTATATAATATATAATAAATATCTTATACAAATTATTTTATTATCTTGTTTAAATTTCATTTTACATATCCATTTTAATATAGGTATGCAAATAATTATTATTAAAAAAAAACGTACATAGATATACACAAACGGATAAAAATAGTGTTATATAAGCATGCGCATAAAATGAATTGTTTCTCGTTAGTACACAATGATTTTATCAGACAGACCACGCTGACCAGTAACAAAACAAGAAAAATATATTCTCAAAGTGTAGCGATTAAAAAAATATAAACAAAAAAAACAACCAAGAATCAAAAATAAGTGAAAAATCGTTTTTATGCTGTATGAAGTCTAATTAATCGTAATTTTGATGAATCAACAAGAACAGCTGCAGCATCATTCGTACCGCCACAATAACGTGACGATGAAAAGACTGTTAGAAGACGACCACTTAATTGCACCTATATGAATTATATTGAAAAATAATAGTGCTAAAATTAGTGCCCAGACAAAAAAATCGTTATTTTAGAAATTTTCATGAAAAAAATCCATGAATTTGGTTATTTCACAAAAACAAGCATCGGTTACCGGACAGTTGTTCGCGGATGTGGATATAGGAGATACAATTGTGGGTTTTCTCTTAATCCAGGCCCACGTGTTCAACTGCCATAAACTCACGAAAATCATTAGCGTAGTTTCATTACTTTTATATCATTTTCATTTTATGACTGTCATGTCAATTTAATTTTTTTCCATGTAATAAAAGTCATCGATGATTTTGAAATACATCAAAAGAAATGATATGCTATTGACTTTCGTCATTATTTTTCTGTAGGAAAATTTTGAGGTCATACGGATTCTTGTGTGAATAGTATTAACATTGTTTTTTTTTTGTCAAAAAAAGAAGTTTTCATACGCGATTTTAGTAGTTTTAAAATGCATTCTATGAGAAAGATATTCTATAGCATGAATTGTACCCAGACTTTTCAGAACGGTGGAGATAGAATTTAATAGCTTAAAAATATTATCCTCATTAATTTTTTTTTCTGGTTAATATGGTTTTTGGATGCTATTAGTATTCTTCTCCTTCATGTTCTGAAAATTTTCATTATAATCATGTAATTTATATCATTTTTTCTATTTTTCAATTCCATAGATGACAAAAGTATTTTAATTTCTAATAAAAGACTTGAACAAACTTTCTCTCTACATGATTTTATGTAAAAACAAAAGTTTCTATAAGAGTTGTTTGTAATGGTTTGCGATGATCATATTAGATCAAATTTTGTTGTCGATCTGTGTCGTCTTCTTTCTTTCTCTTGTCTTCTCTAATGCTCTTAGCCATCTATAGACATTAGGGAATACAAAAAGTGATGTCGGTAGAACAAAAAAAAAGAAATAAAAAAACAAGTTGATCAAGTTTTTATTTCATTAAATGTTCAAAATAATCGTTCGAGTTATTCGCGTTTTATTGCATTCGTTCAATTCATTTATCGAACGATTTTTTCAAAATACTCTTTCGTATTCAAAAAAATCATAGACTTGTTTACATCACAATGCAACATTTTGATCGATTAGATTTTATTCGATTTTCTTTTATTGTGTTCTACCGACATCAGTATTTCTACATTCTTATATGTATAAACGGCTTGACATTAAAGCAAACGAGAAAAAAAAAGAGGATAGGCATCGAAGATCGAATGTAATCTGATATTACTTGAAGAATGACCAAATATCAGAGAAACGTACAGTGTCCCAAAAACCCGTCGGAAAAGTTAACGTTAACATATCTTGTACAATTCAAGTGATTTAATTGATATACTGCTAATATGTTACAATGTTTTTTAAAGTTTTACTTTGTACATATTTCAGATATCTGCGTTGATAAACATTGGAATAAAAAAAAAGTTTTGTTAATGGTCAAGTTTGGCAAAAAACACACTAAATGAAGATTGCATTAAAGTAACATTTCAATGCTTTGATGAAACTAATATAGGATAGGATCAAGAACGTTCTGAAAGATCGCCAGAAAATATAGAAGAAAAATTCGACGAAGTTCATGATGTTTATGAAAATCAACTACAATTAAGTGTTTAAGTTATTGCAACAGTCTTTTCTATTTGGCAAACAAATTACACATGGCACGATTTCAATGAAAGGTATTCAGTCTTAGTAATGCGCGTTGTTGTTTGTGGAATAGAACGGACTGTTATGATAGCTTGAACATCTGATTATAGCTCATTTTCACTAACATCATGAATTTCATCGACTTTTTCCTCTGTAATTTTTGATGGTCTTTCAGAACATTTTCAATTTTACACTGTACTAATTCCATCAAAGTGTTATGCTACTGTAATGCAATCTTCATTTGATGTGTTTTTGTCAAACTTGACTTGCAGCTCTCATTTCACAACTATAGATGACTAAAATTTCATCATTAATAAAACTTTTTTTTTATTCAAATGTTTATAGATACAGACATTTATCTAAAAATATACAGAATAAAAGCTTTTAAGAACATAGTAACATATTATAAACTAATTAATTAAATCGTTTGAATTATATAAAAGTTATTTACGTTAACTTTTCTGATAAACTTTTGGAATACCGTATAGAATATTATTTTTAATATGAGGTTAGACAGACAGAATATTTCTTTGAACTTTTTATAACGAATTAAAATATCTTCGCTACTACTTTTCATATGCCATAAGTATATTCACATACAAAAATTTTTTATTTACTTTGAAACCTGCTTGTTGTACTTCATGAGCACGCACAACATGTGTAAAATTATTTTTCTCAAGAAATGCCATCAATGCTTCATTAGTAAAATACTTTCCAGTACTTCGTCTTGTATTATGAAAAAATCCATTAGCAGCACCATTTTGTATTTGATTCATTATATTTGTATCAATTGAAAATGGATCATTCCACATTATTTCCCATGCTAAAGGTGATTCAATTTCTGGATCACATAATGGTACAGGTATATCATTAACCCTTGAAATAAATTCACCTGGACATGAAATAGGACTTGGAATACCACCATGAAAACATAAAATCTAAATTATGAAAATAATTTAGAACAGAAGCTTGCATTATTTGTTTTTTTTTGTAAAAAGTAATTTAACGTACTTTATCATCGATTACTGCAGCAAGTGGAAGCACGTCAAAAACAGAATTTATTGCATCCCATACTTCTTTACCGAGTGTATCACCGAATTTTCCAAGACATTCTCTGTAAATATACAAAAATGAATTCATCATGAAACTAGGAGAAATATAAACTTTATATATTGTTGTTGCTTTTCAAAGAAAATAATTTTTATTATTGCTATTCTTTCCATTGAAGTATCATCACCATTATAACTTATAAGTTAAAGATTGTTAGAAAATAGACTAATTGATTTACAATATTCAATATTTAAAAAAATAATATTGATGGAAAAATGGTCGATTCAAAGCAAAAACTCACTGTTTATTAGTTGCATGAAAATTTTTATTATATTCTGGAAGATAAACAAAAAATAAAAAATCTTTTATATGTATGAAGAATATATCATTTTTTAATATTTTGATCAATTAACTCAAATATTCACTTGTTTCAATTAAAGAAGAAATTAATCATGGTGAAAAAAAATTTCTTTTATATTTCAAATATTGTTGACGTATGCGTAAAGATTCCCAGGTAATAAATAGCTGTTAAGCTAAAACTATATTCAATCAATAATAGGGTCTAGTGAGTAAGCAAATATCCTAGAGTGATTCGAGCTCCTAAACCTTTATTACTAAGATATCAAATTTTTAGTGGATTTTTTCTGTAGGGTCTTAGCTTTTAAGCGAAATTATACTTTTCAATTTTGACCTGAAACTTCGTCCACATAAAGGCACCGATTAGAGTAATTTTTAGGAAAAATTTTAGGATTTTTTCACTAAGTCTCTGCAAGATATGAAAAATTTATAATATCCATGTCTTTTACAATAATCATAGCATAGCAGCCAAGTTTTAAAAAGTTTATATCTTGGATTGACTTGGTCGAAAAAAGTCTGAAAATTTTTCTACAAGCTAGTTTAATCGATGCCTTTATGTGGGCAAAAATTCATGTCAAGATTTCAAAATATGATTTTTCTTCAAAACTGGTACCCTGCACAGGAGAAATCCACTAAAAATTCAAAACCTCAGTAATAAAGACTGAACAACTCGAAAGTAATTTATTACTTGGGAATCTTTTGTAGTGAGACTTAAATTCTGATACCATTCATAAATATAACTGTTCCTTAACTAGCTATATTTTTCAAAATATTCAATATTTGAAAAGATCCAAAGAACAAATTCAATAACAACGATTTATCAATGAAAGTGAGAATAGATCTCAGTAGATTAGAATAAAAAATTCTTATGAATTATTTAAAAAATTTTAAGATTGCAAATAACATGAAACATTTCCAAGCGGGAATCGAGTTATGAGCTAATATATTGTCTGCAAGTGTGTATTGGTGAGACTAGAAAAGTTCTAAGAGAGCTCATGTTGTTGACCATTCCTTTGTCAGCACAAGTTATTTCACAAAGATTTCAGCTTGTGTAAGAGTATATAGAGAAAAAAACAAATGGAGAGATTTTGACTTGAAATTTCATACAAAATACATAAGCCGAATGATACTTAGCATACCTTAAAATTTTTACTTCGAATTAGAAGATACTGAATTTGCAAAAAAGATACATAATCCACAGATGATGTAAGAAAATCGTCTTTGTTCGAGATGAAAATTTTAAAGCATGTTAACGAAGGAACCATACGAACTGTGATACCCGCCCTTTGACCTCACATTGAGCCCACAAGAAGATATCAGCAAGACTAGAAAAAGTCTGGAAGAGCTCGTCTCCATGCATCTTTGGAGCCGAATTAGGATCGTTTTACTGAGTTTTCCAGTTAGCTTTAGATGTATACGGAAAAGTTAAAGAGGAGAATTTCGACGTGAAATTTAGCCCATATATAGATCGAATGACTCGTGGAATATCTGAATAGTTTCAGCCGAAAACAATGCTTTTTTGTTGAGATATTGAATTTTTGAAAAATAATCGCTCATCATAGAAATAATATAAAAATCTAGTTTACTTGAATATTCAATATCTCGACAAAAGAACATTCTTTGCAGCTGAACATTTTAGGATATTCTATGGATCATTAGATTTATCTATGAACAAAGTTTTTTTTATCAAAATTCTGCTTTTTCAGTTTTTGATATATACCTAAAACTGTGTCGAAAATTTAGTAAAGTAGTCGTGACTCGGCATCAAAGAAGTATGAGGACACATCCTTTTAAACTTTTGCTAGTTTTGACCAAGACATCCTAGTAGATCCAACATGAAATCAAACGACAGATATTAGTTCATATGATTCCCTATCGTAAGTATCATAAAACCTATCTATGAATGAAATTTCAAGTTCGCATGGCGCAATTTGATTTTTCTCTATACATCTTGCTGTAAGCTGAAATCTTAGTAAAATGTTTCTGACTCAGAAGAAACTATCAACAACATGAATTCTCTTAGGAGTTTTCTGGTCTCAGCAAGACCTACTTAAAAGGTAAAGTATTAGTTCGTAACTCGAATATCACTTAAGAATGCTCCTTCATTGGTCGAAAATTCGTTCATATCTACACTAAAAGAGATTCGCAGTATGTTAAAAAGAATTTATTCTTGCCCTTTTCTGTATACATTCAATTTATCATTAGAATCTATTTTCTAAAAGACTTACTTTAAAAAACTAAACATTTGTTGAACTTTTCTAATTTCATGATTTCCTCGAAGAAGGAAAACTTTTTTTGAACATTGAAATTTTGCAGCTAATAAATAAATAACAACCTAAAAAGAAAACGAGAATAAATTAAACTTAATCTTTTTTCTTTTAAGATTTTTTACTTCTAATCCATGAACACCACGATCAACATAATCTCCAAGAAAAAGAAATGATGCTGGTGAAAGTAATGGTGTTGCACGCCATAAACATTTTTCAAAACAAATTAAATCTTCATAATTTCCATGTATATCACCAAGAATATAACATGGTGATGATAATTTAAGACAACGTGGTTCACATTGTATTATTTCACGAACTTCTTTACATAAATTAATAACGGATCTACCTAATTGAATAATTGAATTTGGTACCCACATTAATGCTTCTTTTGTTTGATCACGTTTTTCAAAAAAACGTAGCATTTCTTGAATATCTGTCGCAATTGTTCTCTACATAAAGAGAAAAAACAATAATTAAAGATAACTAATAAATTTTGTCTTGTTCTTTTACTCGATCGAATATTTCTTCTGATGGTGATCGGGGTAAATATTTTAATTTCTCTTCTGTTGTTGTACTAAATTGATTATTATAACTCATTGTACGTAATGATTCAACTTGGTAAAGTATACCAGATTTTTTTAGTGTTACACAATGATCAGCTAATTCATAATTTATATTACCTTGAAATAAAAATCTTCTAATAAAAAAAAATGATTTATTTGTATTTAACTTACTACGATCATTCTGATTATCAATTTTAGCATCTTTATATCGTCTAAAATATAAAAAAAAAACAAGATTAAAAAGAAACGAATATGTTCGTAGGAAAAAAAACAGACTTGCACATTCGTAATGAATCTTGTACATTAATATTAAGACGCAATAGAACAGATGTACCACGATATTTTAATTGTCCAACTGAATTTAAAAAGTCAATTAATGCCAATTGATTATTTGCTTGTAGATTAAAAGAACTGAATAAAACATAAAATGTCGGAAATACAAAATTAAAGCAGAAGTTATCTGACTTTGTTTACATATGGTTAGACAGAGTGTGACGAGTCGGTCAAGAATATGTGCATTTTCAGAAAAAAGTAGGTCATCTAAAAATGCATATATTCTGGATCAGTTCACCATGCTCTATTTAATCATATATAAAGAAAACAAAAAAAAAAAGAAACAGACTGCTGTTTTAATTTTGCAGTTCCGGCATCTTACTTGAATACTGATTGAACTTCATTGTATGATGGAGCATCAGCAGTTGATTTACCGGATTTTAGACATTGAACATCGGTATGAAGATCTCTGAAAGAGAAGTCATTCTAGATTAATTTTTAAAAAATTATCAAGTTAAATTTAGAAAAAATTTAAAGAGAGCTTATTTTTGAAATATAAAATTCTTTTATCAACGAAACTCTATTCACGATAAAATAGTGCCATTGATTTTGAATAGAAATTTTACAAAATTCTATCGATAAGAATAGAAGACTATATATGAATTTAGGATAGTTCAATTGAGCTGTTTCTTCATATAGAACCATATTTCAATAGTGTTAATAATTACATTAATCTATTGCATTGTCAATTGTTCTTTTCTTATCATTTTCTATTCTTAGTACTTTCTAGCTACGTCCAATTTGATATCCTAAGGTATTATTAGCTATTCTATTAAATTTCGTAATTGATAAATCATTTTCTTCGTTTTTCTTCATTTCACAGATTTTCTGGTGAAAAAACACTTTCATTGTGTTTGGTAGATTACAAAATGATGAGTTTAATGCAAAGCTATCACGTTGTTTTACTTTTCTTATCTATAATCAATATGTTCTAGATTAGTGACTTTTATAGGTCACTTTTTCGCCATGCAATCCAAACAATCTCTATGGCATATAGATATTGTAACATGCTATATGTAATTAAATTAATACAACGAAAGAAAATTAGACATACTTTTTGTAAGGATTCATTGTTAAGAAATAAAATAAAACATCTTCTACCTATTCAATATATATATCGCTATGATGTCAAGAGTTTCCAGGATAAGAGTATTTTTTTCCTAGATTTCAGTTACTATAACGGATAGCGGTCTGGAAATTTGTATGACTATACTTCACTATGAATGTAATTCAATTGCACTATTTGCGCTCTGCTTGCTCGAGTACACACTGAGTTATGATGATTGATGTTTATTTTTGCCTTGAGCTTCATAACTCGAGAGGGGAATACGTTGTAATTCAAGAGATTTATTATTACGTTGTATCCTGTTCCAGCTACTTTATCATACGAATTTCGTGAAGATTCACCAATCTCTTCAAGAATCGTGATCAGTTTACTCTAACTATTGGTGTGCAAAAAAATATCTATTGGTATCTTAAAAACCATAATTCAGTGATAGTTTGATAAATTGATCTGAAACTTTCAGAATTAAATGTTATACTAGAAGAATATGACACATGGATGATCTTTATCTCAATGTCGAGGATGTAGAGATACGTTTTATGCAAGAATATTCCGAATTAACCATTTATTTCATTAGCTACAAGACAAACTTCAGCAGGCAACTTTTAAAAGTTGTGAAGCTCACAACAAAAACAGGTTCCATCCATTATAACTCTGTTTCTACTCAAGCAAGTGAGATCCTAATGGCAGATAACAATTTTAACAGTCAATATAGAGTTGGATGTATAAGACATTCTATTATATCTTAAAGAGCACAAAATTCTGAACAACATGATGGATCGCCGCATTTTCTACGACTTTCCCTTGAAATGTTAAAAGTATCATAAAAACCAAAATTTATCAGAAAATCGACTCAACAACGATTTTTGTGATACTGTTAACTTTTTAAGAAAAACTCGTAGAAAATGCGTCGACGTTTAATTTTGTACAGAATTTTGTGCTCTTTAAAATAGTATTATAAAAAAAAATAAGTTCTGGTACCTGAAAACTTTCGTGTCTAGTACTTTTAAAAATCTTGTCATCATAGTGCATCTTATATAGAATGTATTAGATAGAAAAATTCAATGACTATTAAAATCACTATTCGAATTTGAGCTAATTGCTTAACATCATAGAAAAAATTCAGAAATACGTTGTTATTCAAGTCTTTTTCAACTACCTTACCCCATCCAAAAAGCTCACACTCATTTTGTGTTTAATAATATATAATACAAGTCACCGATTAAAAAAGTCTGATAGGAATATTTTCGTCAATGATGAATATAAAATTACATACCGAAATTCTTCTATTGACATACATCCCGAATTTTTAACACTATAAAAACGAAAAATATATCGACAACGTAGTTCTGCCGGAGCTCCTAAATGATTTTTGTTTTCAATTAAATTTGATTCCACAGAAAAAAAAAAAGATTTAATTAATACCTCCGTGTGACGTATTTGGATCCATTGCAGCTAATCCTAAATTAAAGAATAAATTTCTTTAAAATTTTATTGAATTAATTAACTAACCGACTAAATAATCTAAATAAGTTAAATAAGAATTTTTTTGAGAATCAAAAGCACGAAAATAAGCTTGAATTTTAGTTTTTTCTGTTGTTGATAATTTATTATCCATAGCTTCAGTAAAACTTTTCAAACTCATATATTCACTTGGAAATGTATATGAATAAAATTCTTTAAAAACATTTTCTTGAACTAAATACAAGAAAAACAAATATACTTGTTTTGTGAAATATAAAAAGAAATTTTTTCATACTTTTATTATTAAATTTAGCTGAACTTATTAATTGTTCTATTGGTGAAACAATTGCCTGATTATTTAAATCAGATTGTTTAAATTCAATAAATTGAAGGGTTGGTTCTTCGAATATTTTACCATCGGATAATAATTTATCTAAATAAAAAAAAAAAAAAAGTAAAATTAATAGGAAAAAAATGAACATCTAAATACCCCATCCGTTTGATTGTTGTCGTTCAAGAATACTTTTTAGTATATAATATGGTTCAAGTCCAAGTAATTCTCGATTTTTAATAGCCATATTTATCCGTTCTAAATTCATCCATATTGATTTAACTGAATTCGATCCATTCACACGTGCCTAAAAGCAAAATAATAAAATTTTTCAATAAGAAAAAACGAATTTTGAATAGATAAATAATTACTATTTGAGTTTTACTAAGTAAATAATATGTTTGTATACTTGGTAAACATGGTAATACATCACTACATCGAATTTTAAATACAGATAAGAGTTCAAAATCATATGGATAAATCTAAAGAGATATTCAACAAATAATTTATAATAAAATATTGTAAAAAAAATAAATATTAACCTTATTTGCTATCCGTTTAGCAGCAAGTGCTCGAGTTTCACCTGGTTGAATTTCATCAAATGGAAACCAATATCCACGACCTGGATTTTGTTCGATAAGAAGTAAAGCATTAAGATCTCGTTCAATAATAATACATATAATTAACTTCATTTCATTAATTTACAAGCACAAAAAGCATTTTCTATTTACTTTTGATTTATAAATCAAAATCTAAAGCATATATTTGATAATAATAGACTTGTTTATTATTAAATCCAATAGAAAGTAAAATCAGTACCTACGTTAATAAAAGATGTCACCATTCAATTGAATAAAATAAGTTTTTTCTTCGAATACCTCAAGAAGCAGAATATGTTAAAAACAGACGGTGTTTTATTATTTACAAGAACGACGGTTTTTTTTTATTAAAACAATTTGTAATGGAAAAGAATTCAAAAAAATTGATTTGCTTTTACTAGGAAGCTGTGGACTCTGATTCTAGAGCTCATCGGGTTGTAACGTGTAGGTTGTCCTAGTCGCCGAATACAACAAATCGAAAAAAAAAATTATTTCGTATGTTCGGGATGCCTGTCCAACACGGATTAGAAAATTTTATTGAGAGTATTAAAGTACGGTTTGACCGGGTTCAGATTCCGAAAACGTTTAATAAACTAGATTCAGAAATTTAGCTTCTGTTAGATTCGGGTTCACACACACGTGGACTCACAGCTCGCCACATCGATTGTATAGAATATAAATACAGCTAAAACTATTCCATATTGCTGAAGGCTTCGGTATTTCTATTGGTTTGACAAATTTTGTATATCAATTAACTGTTGAATTTGCTTTTTATTTTTTGGTGAACGTAATGCTCTTTTCAATTAAGTGAAAACTTTTAGTTTATTAAGCATCGATTCATGAGAAAGTCAACAACAAGAACTAACTTTCTGTTAACTTTTTTCCCTAGAATAGCCAATAAATAGCCAGAACCTTGACCCTTCACTTGTTCATGCACACAGAGGGTGCCAGATGTTAGTGGAAAAAAGCTCGGATGTTTGTTCACAAAAACGTATATCCGCTACTCCCTAGCAATTACAGAAGTCAAGAAGTAGTTGGTTATTCCAGGTAAAGAATGTTTATATGAAGGATTACGTTCTGATTATATGTCGTGTTCATTTATCTTTAATTAGTATTATGATGAATTTGCTTTTTTCAAATTGATTGAGTCTTGAAAGTTGAATGTCATTCGGTGCAAACAGACGTCATTGTTCTGAATCAATTTCTCTTGGTCTGTTTTGTTGGTCACGCTAGAGTGCTTATCATCGTGTTAATTCAAACTTAGTATGTGATATAATATTGAAATGCTTTTACAAATCTATAAAAAGAAATGCTTCCTCTTGTTCCTTGATTATCTATTGTTACTTGCGTGTAGGCGTAGATTTTTGTAAAAAGAAAACATACACACACTTATACTTCACCCTTCGAGCAATATGTAATCCTTTAGAGAGAGCGATAGACCAGACCTGTCCGAACTCTTCAATCACTAGAATAAGTAAGTTTTTGAGAACATAAATAAATGAAAACTTTTTAAAAGCATTACACTTCCATTAACCGCTACTTATACGAGGTATATAATAGAGTCTAACGCAGAAAAACAAGAGCTATGCAGTCTAGAAAAACATTCTCTGATTATTTGAGAGTTTTAAGGATATTGCTCGTGACTTTGCCTAAGGCACAAAATTTATTAATACTTTGTAGATTATTACGAAACACCAAAGTCTTCCATAAATGAGACAAATTTTGTATAAAAAATATTTTATTCAAAAAGTGAAAATAATTTTATTTGATAATATCATTGATATCGATACTAGAACTATATTACAGAAATATGAATAGTGTAAATATTTTAAAACAGTTCTAGTAAAATATTCACGTATTGGTTATATAGTAGTACTGTGCATTAAAAAAAAATTAATAATCCATCTATTTTGTATTATATTGAAGTGTGAATGAAAAAAATTTTATGCCCGCAATGACCTTTGTCAATCTACAATTTCTTTTATATTATTGTTTTCTTTGTAAAGATACATTACACATATATGATGAAATCTATACCAATACAATGACATTGAATATATTGCTTTCATTGGGTATGAGTCGGGCATAAAAAATTACTCAAAGTAAAATATTTAAAAAACTCATAAAAGAATTCTATCTTTTGTATCTCACTCATAATTAGTATAATATTCGGAAAAAAAATCTCTTTTGTTTACAAGATGTAAGAATTTATGTTTTATGTCAGTAGTTGTCAAGCTTTTTTTCCGGAACTTTTTTCTATGTAAATATCGTTGTATGTCTTATCATCAAAACATATATATAACTAAGTTGAAGACATGTACTTGGTTAAGGATGAAAGCGAGAACAACACTTATTATAGAAGACCAGCTGATGATGAGAGCTAATTCTTCAGAGCAATTGCTCTCTTTTGATAGAGTTAAAATATATTCTATGCTATTAATAGATAAATCTAATGGTTTAAGTAAATCTTTGTAGCTGCTTAATAATACAGTATATTCTATTTCCATCATTCTGCAATGCAAACAATAATGTAATGAGGACATTTGAAGTGTTGCTGGAAATAAAAAAGTAGGTATTCATTAATTGAGGAAAAAAAAACGACTCACAAATTCGACAATTAAAATTTATTTATTTTTGAAAAAAAAATTCAAATCAATTCATTTTCTTTCATTTATTTTTCATTCAAAATAATATGGTAACCGGACACGAAAACAATTAGGAAGAAATATAAGACTATATACAAATACAAACAAAAAGAAAAAGAAAGTTCTCATGCATTAATACGACGTTGATGTAATTGTTTATTTTTATTTGATATCGGTAATAATGCAGATGATTTTTTAATACATACACCAAATGTTATATTCCAAAAAGCCATACGAAATTGTTTTGAACAATAAGCATATATAAATGGATTAATAACTGAATTAAAATAACCAAGCCATGTTATCAATGTTACTGTATGATCGTTTAATGAACGCTTTTCTGGTGGTATAACATACATAATAAAGAAAGGTAACCAAAGAATAATAAAACCACCGACAACAACAGCTAATGTTTTAGCTGTTTTTTGTTCTTTCATAAAACGAATACGTTCTCGACGATGAACATCACCTGGTGTAGTATTACTACGTACACTTGTACATGTTAAACTTGATGATTGACCTGGAGTATATATTGGTGTACGATTTGCTATTTCATTTAATGAAAGTTTATCATCATCATCATCGTCATCATTTGTGAATGAATGACTTGGCGTTACAGTATATGTTTGTTTAGTTCGATTTTGATATGTATTATTATTAATTGAGGATGAATAAAAACAACAATAATAACATAAAGAATGATTTTGATTAAGATTATTTTCATTTAAATTATTATTTCGATTAATACAATGACGTATTATTGAAGAAAAAGATTTTGTTGATTGTATTGATGTATTATTATTATTATTATTATTTGTTAATCCATATTGTTGTTTAATATTTTCTATTGATAATGCTGATGGTGAAGTTTTTAATAAACGTGAAGATTTTATTCGACGATTTATACGTGTTGGTTCAGGTAAAGATTGTTTTTGTCTCATACAATATGGATATGCTGAATTATTTGAAAGATTTTTTTGCATTATTGCAGGATTTGTTGTTGAACGTGTTCGCATTGGTATTGAATTTATTTGTTGCATACTACGTTGTTTATGTGTTGGTTTATTTTGTTTTATTGATAATTGTGTTAATTCATTTAATGATTGACTTGTTTTATTTAAATTTTCATTTATTGATGAAAATAAATGATCAGTATTATTTTCTTTAGCTGATAATCCTATTTGTCCAATTTCATTCTAAAAATTTTTTTTTTTGAAGATAAAATTACTTTCAGATATAGATTACGACAAGAAAGTGTTCAAGGAAAACTATCATAGAAATTAATTTCTATTGTGTTGTATAATTGCATGCGGAAGTAGAGTTTATCTTTTCTTTTTAATTTTCCGCCGTACTCTCATTGATCAGATACAATTACACTTTAGTGTTCAACTTTTCTTTCCAAGAATAAATAAAATAAATCCTTAGCTACTTTTGTTTCCGATAATCCAAAAGGGAAAAAAAGAACAAATAGTTATCATATTATTCTTATACGTAAGTTCTACTGTATAGTCATTGTCTAAAGACAGTTTCATGATTATTTTGTGCTTAATAGAATATTGCAACGATCAAGAAGAACGTTAGAAATCAAAAACAATAGAATTAGACATTTCTCGAAAAGATTCATCATTCTATATTACCTTTGATTTCAGTGAAAAATACCTTTTGTTTTTGACAACATGGTTATTTTCAACAAGACAAATAAGATTTGTTTACTAAATTAGATTTTATTCATATATATTCTTTATCCGCTTCTCGACTTGCTAAATGACGTCAAATCTCATGTCCAATTTTTTTTCTCAGCTTTAAAATCCATACATTTGGTTATTGATCTTAAAACAAAAATAAGCCTATAATAGATTTAAAATATCTAAATCTTTGATTGTCCCTTGACATATGTTTCATAAACATAATTAAAAATTTGTTGGTCTAAAATAAGATGAGACTTTTTGTTGTCAATTTATTTTCTATATTTGGAAAACAAGGCATATCTACTACGGATGACAGTTGTCAATTCCCATGAACGCTGTTTGATTTTGTTACAGTCTCAACTTGTAACTTTGAGCACAAGATAAATTTATTAGAGGAGGAAGTATATGTCATCATGTAATAATTGTTATATGCCGAGGGATTAAAATTGACTATTGTATCTATTCTTACTTATTAAAAATACCATAAAAATTAAACTGTAGAAAACATTCTTACTTCTTGTTTAATTGTATCTTTGGTATTTGTTGTCGTTGAAATAGCTGCAGCAGCTACAGCTGCTGCTTTTAATTGTCGACTATGACTTAATTCTGTATTTAAATCACGTATTTTACTTATGGTTGAATGTTCAAATGAACGTGATCGACGTTTAATTAATGGTGTGACAGTTTTTTCATATGTTTGTAATTCATAAGATGATGAATCATCTTCACGAAATTGATATTCAGAAGATATATGTGTTGAACAATTACATCGAGATTGATAAATATCATCGGATATATTGCTTAATTTTTTTGTTGGATTTTTACATGAACGTGAAAAAATTGATGTTTTTGCACTTAATCGTCGTGTATGTACAGGTGAATTTGTATTGATATTTGAATTTGCATTTGGATTCGGATTCGAATTGTTATTATTTGTAAAACGATAAATAAGATAACCATTTTGCTTTTGTTCAATAGTTGGACAACAATTATATGAATAATGAGGTGCTGATGTTCTTGATGATAAATTTTCTTTTGATTCTCTTCGAAAACAAAAACAACACCATGAAGAAAAATTTTGATCTTGTTTTTTATTATTTGATATATGTGTATTAGTTATACAGCTGTTAGGATTTGATTTTATTGATAGATTTGATGATCGAGTATTATTATTACTGTTATTATTATTACGAAAGTTTTTTATTAAATTTTCACGATCATAAACAACCATAAATATACGTATATAAACAAATATCATAACAACACCTGGAATATAAAATGAGCCAAGTGCAGAATAGACAACATAACCTCTTGCTGTATTCAAATCACATTTATATTGTTGTTCGACCTACAATTATAATAAGAAAACTAGTTTTTCATGTCTTTTCAATAAAATCATTTATGCATATGAATTGTTTTCAAGGAAGTACGTCATTAAAATAAGATACAAAAAAAAATAACAAAACATTCTTACTGTTTGACGTCTATTTTTATCTCGCCAACCGAATATAGGTGGGCATGTTATAACGACTGAAACAATCCATACTAATAAAATCATAACACGAGCAAGAAATTTTGATCTATATGCAGTATATGTTAATGGTTTTGTTATAGCCATATATCGATCCACAGAAATACAAGTTAAATTAAGTATACTTGATGTACATAAAAGAACATCTGATGATACCCATAAATCACATAAAATTAAACCAAGTTTCCATGAACGATCACGTTGATTATAATAAATACTTAGTGGAAGAACAAATATTGCAACTAAAGCATCAGCAAAAGCTAACGATGCTATAAAATAATTAGTTACTGTTTGTAAACGACGTGTACGAAAAAAAGCACATATTACAAGTAAATTGCCAAGAAATGCACTTATATCGATTAATATCATACATGTTAAAGTTACTATTCGAATCCCAACAGGCATTGTTGACGTTGTTGTTGTTGTTTTATTAATGTTAATTGTAACATTAGAAAAATCGACATACGATGAAGATGTGAGTAGTGTACCCATCATAATCATTCATGATGCATATCTTAAAATTTTAATTAAATGAATACTTTTCTTATCAAAAATAATGCAAAATGATAAAAAAAAGAAATCGATCGTCTTTAAGACACATAAAAAAAAACAGAAAATGACGACAGTTATAATAACTTTTTCTCACGTTTGTTTCTTCTTTTCTTTTTTTTCCCTTAGACGCCATTGAATTAATCCTCAATTCTCATTCTTGCTTTAGGAAACAAAGTCACAATATAATTATATATTCTTCTTCGGCTCTAGCTATCATAATATCGTCAACAACTAAAAGTATTGTTGAATAGTATGATATTATTTTCAGTCTCTATCACCTTTTATCATTCAACTATCTGTTGGATGTTGCTTTCATCAAATGATCGTTCTAACTACTTATTGGGAGAAAAGAAAAAAAAACTATATGTTAAGAAAACAAGAAAGTGCAGGATAATAAGATCGACAATCCTATCATCGTCCTACACAAGAAAATCTTTAGTCGCAAACAGTTGTATATAACAAAGGGTTTACAAGTAAGACATAATCAACAATGGTTTTTTTTTATTATGCCTTTATTGAATTTATTGTGCCACCCGAAAGCATTGACAGCGAATTTGTACTAAATCAAGATAAGAATACTAAATGAGAAAATACAAAACAATAAACGAATTTTCTTGCAAGACAATCATCTAATAGGACAAAAGAAAGGTAGGAGGTAAACCAATTCATTACATCTCCCAGCTAAGTACATGGATACTGCTTTTTATCTGTGGAAGAGTAAGTGTGAACCAATGGTTTATGACATATATGTGTCAGCTATTTGCTTCTCTATCAAAGATCATATTATCAGTTTCTGTCGAGTAACGACCGCATTTGAAAATGTCGTCGCATTTGGTCTTATAGATAATTAGTATTCTATTATGTAAATATAAAAATTAAGAGAGATGAACAAGTATTTATTCTTATTCATATAATAAACTCTAAGAACACAATCAATCTACTAACTATTTCATCAATAATCTCACTAGCAATTTCATAGAAGAAAAGTCTATTATATTTATAGTTGTTCGTTCTCTTGTAAAAACATTGATAAAACTATCTGCACGATTTCTATGAAAAGCAAAACAGATTCACTTTATTATTATGTTCGCTATAGAACGGAAATTCCGAAGGCTTTTTGTTTGGTATTAATAATAGGTAAGCACGCAAAATTATTATCAATAATGAAGCTGCATTTTCTATTTCAAATGAGTACTCGTTAGCGATAAAGAAGGAAAGGACAAGAAGCATAAAAACAGAATAAAAGCATCATACTGGCATAAACAACACGAAGTCGAATAATTCGACGGTCTTTTTCTTTCTTTTTCCTAATACTTATATCAACATCGAATTAGCTATTGCATACATCAATACTTTACAATACCCTCTATCGTTTACAAATTGACGCCGTGCATGACATTTTAAAAAAATGATCTAATCTAATAAAAGATGAACAATGTAACATCCAAGATCAACAGTAAAACAACAATCAACAGAAAACATATGAACATATGACAAAATTTTTCTTCAACAAAATAATAAAACTAATGAAAAGGAACCAAACAATAATACTTAACATAGATATGAGTTTTGTTTTATCCTTTTACACCTGTACATTTTTTAAATACGTATATAACACGACGATGATTTCATTTATCGATATTGTAGATTTTTCTGTAGAAAAAACGATACATTACATATATGACATTAGTATAACGTGATGTATTTTCGTCTTATCTTGTGTCATAGCTTTTAATGGGCATCCTCAAACAATAAAAAGCATCGTCATAGAATAAAAAGAAAAAAGAAATTGGTCTTATAATAGATATATTGCTCTTTTCTGCTGCAATTCTTTCATGTCATCTTATCTTCTAGTAATTTCATAAAACAATCATGTTTGCATGAGCAGGTACGTCTTGTTTTTGTTTTTTTGTATACTGATTAGTATATTATTACTTTGAGAAATGAAAGTGTCCTTCTTTGATCATTTATGAAGGATGACAAGATAAAAGAAGAAAACAACATTTGAAAACAATTTTCTCAAGTATTTTAAAAACATATCTATTGACATTACGAAAGAATGAGTTTATATCGGATCATTGAAATTTATATGTACGATTTCTTATCGTTCGTCGGCAAAGAATAATAAAAGCACTATTGATTGTATTTTTAAAAAATTTTTAAAATATTGTCAAATATGCAGAAGTGTCTCGAAGTCGTCAAGGTTAAAGGTTGACGCCACACGAATCTGAATGGAAGATTTTTGCTAAAGGCAACCGGTTTTGAAAGAATTTGAGCGTTTTGCTTTTGGAACACTGGTAATAAAAAAAACTGTCATTTCACAGTAGAAAAACAGACATTTTTTTAAGATTGTGAGATCATATGCTCGGAACATTGCTGTTAACATGGCTGTCGTGCTAGACTAGTTCTCATGAAGATAATATTAACATGCCATTTCATTCTTATAATTTTCATAAAATTATCACTAAACTATGCTGCATGATTCTTTAAATATTGTGCAATAATTGACTATGATAAGCAAACTGCTCAGGGTATGCCATTTAATAAAGGATAACCTTATAGGAGTTTCGCTTTTAGTAATGAATTTCTATGTTATCAGCATATAATGTTAATTATTAGAATTTTAATTGTACTTGCTGTGATAGTTAAAAAATGTGTAAATAACAAAAAAAAACGATCTGAAAAAGTAATGCAACTCTAATCGTAGAATAGAAAAATAAGACGTAAAACAATTTCTTTCTCACCAATTCATGAATAATATTATTTCTTATACGAGTAGTATGAAACTAAAACATGATTGTAAATAGTTGAAGAATATTAAAGAAGTTTCTAGGGCAATTTTGAAAAAATATTAAAAAAAAATCATAGAAAAGTTTCATTAAGTAGATCGTCAACTTTTTTTTGTTGTGATAATTGAAAATTTAATTGTGATAATTATATTATTAATTCATTACATGAATATTTCTTATTTTATCTTTTACTTTTTCAAATAGATTAGACAAATTAGAAAACAAAGTTCAATTAGTTAAAAGTATTTTTTTTTATAAAATCAAATTGTATCAGAATTCAAAATAATATTATTTAGATAAAAATTTTAATATGGTTTGTCTTCAAATAATATATTAAGTAAATTTCAATTTTGTTTTTTCGCATTTTTCTTTACTTACATGGAGAGAAGAACGTTATGATTAACCCTTGTGGTTGACAGTCTTCTTAGGACTCTTTTACTGACTTTTCTAGTTGAACTTATTTAAAGAAAATTGCTTCGTTAGTTTTTTCTTCTTTCACTTTTTTATCTCTTTTATTTTATCGAACAAACGAGAAGAAAAAAAATGACTAGTATCGTTGAATAGTCATCAAACTGCTATAATCAAATAAGAAACTGTTAAAACACATTTCTAACTGAGACATTCAACGCGATTTTCTTACCTGGATGATTTTTTAGACTCGTAGTCACCTGTTCCATCTGACAAGAAGAAAGAAATTGATTGACTTTATCTTACAAGTGAATAACACTGCCAATGACGTGTGTGATTATGTGATATAAGAAGAAAAACTCACGACAAAAGGAAGGACAGTAACAAGGGAAATTAACATGAAAACAGAGAAAATTGCACTAGCTTATGTGATTGACAATGACATAAGGCGTGGTTATACAAACCTCATGATGTCTGTTGCTTGTCACCAAATATAGATGATAATAAGAGAAAATGAAGACGAACCAAAAATATTTTTTTTCAGATTACATTCATATATATATATATACATGTATATATGTTAGTAAGTGAATCTTCTTTAATTTCTAATATATTGTTATAAAATTGAATATGTCCTTGACTTAGAAAAAAAAAAAAAAGAAGCCTTAGTGAAAATAGTCTTTTGACATATATTGAAATGAGTATTTAATACTAATGTTTATTGACAGTCATGAATGAAATCGATCTGCTTTTAAGCTTCAAAAATAGTTTGTCAATGAGATCAGAGAATGACTTTTGTTTTTAATTATTTCATGTTGATAGCTAATCAGCATTCTCTTTCTCGTTTAGCATACAATAGGTTTTGCCAAAGAACGAGAGAAAAAGAAAAAAAATTCCAAGAAAATATTTTATCATTAAGATGAGTATCAATTTTTGTCGTTTTCGGTTCGTTAATATTTTGTCAATCTAATCAAGTCACATGCATGATAACTTCATTTGACAGCTAGCTACAAATGAGAACTCGACTTTTCTTCTAGGTTTTGCTCTGTTTGGTATATACAGCCAGAAGTTATATGCAAATGTCAAGTTAGCTATAAAATAATCGATTCCATCAATAATCTCATCATAATGTTTGTGTACATAGAAAATAATCGCTTTATTTATTTAAACATTTAAAGAAAGACATTGAAAATTGATAACATATGCCACGAGAAAAAAAATCATGAAAAGTCTGACATTTTATGTTAGGTATACATATTACTGACTTAAGAAATTATTTTTGTTTTCATCTTAAATTTATAAAAAAAAATGAAAATACGGTAATTAAATATGCATTGTTTGTCGTTTTGATGCTGGAGATTCATCGATAACATGTAGTTCAATACCACTATCATGTTCTGATATGATTGACTAAAAGAAAAACATTTTTAGAAAACAAAAAGAATATTAACTGATTCCATTAATCATAAACATACATTAAAAATATTTGTTAAATATTCACATTGTTCATTTTTACTTTGTAATTGTTCATTTTCTTTCGTTAATTCATCAAGTAATTCATGAAGCTATGAAAAAATAAAAAGTTGTCTTTGTTTTTTTTCTCATATTTATTTTCTATATGGTATACTTGTCGGTTTTCTCGTAATTGATCTTCAAGTTTTATACGAGTACGTTCAGCTAATATTTTCCAATAATAATCTGATGCATGAACTATAATATAAAATTAAAAAATCGTATTTTAAAAAT